TGAATTAACACACGGACATACTAACTCTAGAGACCCAAATGAGATTTTCATACTAAAAGAATTTTATAGCGATTATGCCGAAAATCATAAAAAGAAATTAGAACATGTTTATGAGAAAGTTAAAGAAAATCTTATAAACAACAAGAAAAAGGTAAACTCTAAACACAACGTCAAAGGTGACGAAAATCGAGCTTTTAAATTAGACCAAATAGTGTTCAAACAAAATCCACTCAATCGAAACAAGAAAAATAATAAATTTATAGGACCATACATAATTACGCAAATATTAGAAAGAAATCGAGTAGAGATAGCAAGAAAAGATAATCTTAATAAAAAAGAAATTATTCATGTCAAGGAATTAAAACAACCTCCTTGTATTGTTTCAGACTTGCTACCTACACCCTAGGCGAACTAGACAAACCAAAATATCATGACTTGACTGATAATCCAGGATTATTGCCTCTGAAACTTGGCAACGCACAAAATCAGATTAATTCTTGGACTTTTATACAAGTTTTCGACATATCAGGAATAATCGATAATTTCTACATATTAAGTGATCAATATGAACGTATCGAAAGAGCTTTTGATAATGACACCACATTAGTTAAGAAATATAGACACATTTTCGAAAATTCTCATAATTTAATGCTATCTTTTAAAACCAAAATAATGACACAAATTATGACACTAAACCCCGTACTAAAACCTAGACAAAGACGAGGACTTATTGACGGTTTAGGATCAATAATAAAATCAATCACAGGTAACTTAGACCAAAACGATGCTAAAAAATATGAAACAGCTATTGATACTCTATCAGGGAATCAAATGAAAATTAAAACCTTAGTAAAAGATCAAATCACACTATTTCAAAAGTCAATCCAAATATTTCAAGATAATATCCAAAATTTAACTAAAAATCAAAAAATATTGGATAAACGTGTTGAAGAAATCGAAACGGTTTTAAACACAAGAAAAAAAGAAGATGCGAATAATTTCTACTTCTTTTATATCGAAATGATAATTTCTCAAATAGCGACCGAATTTCAAACTATCTATGATATCTTAGAAAAAATTGAAACTGCCATTACCTTCTCCAAAATAAATACCTTCCATAATTCAATAATTAACTCCAACGAATTGATAAATGAAATAAAATCAATTTCTATTCACCTGGACGATAATAAGTTACCATTCGAACCAAAAATCGAGAATTTGTTATTGTTTGAAAGAATACTAGAAATCAAAAGCTACGGAAAAGGTAATCAAATAATATTTATAGTTAAGATACCGATAGTTGAAAAAGAAAACTATAATTACTATCATTTATATGCACTGCCTATTGACAAAAATGATTCTTTTAAATTAATAATTCCAAACAACAAATATTTGATTATCAATGAGCAAAATCATTATTTCTCTGATAAACCATGCATCGAAATCATTCCTGAAGAATTTATCTGTCACGAAATGGATCCCACTAAAACTACAGAGGATTCACCATGTGAAACCCAGTTACTAAAATTCTCCCAAAACTTGTCAAATTGCCACCTGGTTCCTGTAAAAGTCAACCAACTGAAAATTCAGAAGATTGAAGCCAACCAATGGATAGTACTGAGTCCAGAACATACTGTGGCAGCTCAAAAATGCGACAACCAGAACGAGAAGATACCCTTAAAAGGAACATATCTAATTGAACTCCCTCCTAATTGTGAAATCGAAATAAATAACATTTATTTGAGAAACCTTAATAGTATTAAACGTCAATTCAAAAATATTAACTTTCCCAAATTAAATTTTGAATTATTAAAAGATAAAATTGTCACTAATATCAAACCTATCAAATTAGATGATATAAACTTAAATGAAATCAATTCAGTCAAGAACGCATTAGAAATCGAAGAAAAGAAGATCAACCAAATCGAAGAACAAGCAATCAACTTCAATACTATTAATGGCTGGACAATAATAACTTATCTAATAATTTTTGTAATAATTATCTTTGTCCTTTTTAAGCTTTACAAGGATAAGATATTTTCAAGAAAGAAGAAAGAAGAACCCGAAGAAGAATCCCCCAGCCAACCATTGCCAAATTCTGGCCCTAACCCCAGAATTTTACACTAAGGGCGGAGGAGTTATGTACACTCTATACATGGCCTCTTATGGATGAGAACCGTAACAACAATCCGACTTCGAGCGACCCACACGATTATTACTGCTGACTTTACATTTATACCATTTTATTTAAGCCATTGTAACGGATGAAAATTCGTCTTTATTCATTTGTATTTCGAGTAATAAAGTCCCTGCTTTTAAAAGTTTGTTTTTTAAAAAGTAACTTGCCCTAATCGAACCTAAAATTAGTGTATGTGAATAGTAGTTCGTGTTCCTCCTGCCGGCCATTTTTTGCTTATCAAAGTTATGTGTTTTGGATAGGCTAATTCTTTTTTGTATTTTGTGGCTGTTTATTGAGTTTATCCATTGAATTTATCAAGTAATATTAATTTAGTCTATTCTGTTGGTATAAATTTTGCTGAAATAAATTTTGTGCACCTAATCGTTGGGATTTCCTTGAACGTCCTTGTTTTTTATAACGTTAACTAACAATCATGGTTTTTGGAGGGTTTGTGTCTGCTGAACAAAAGAAAGATTTGATTAGCTTCATGGAGGAGCATCTAGAACTAAAAATTAGGAAAATTCAGCTTTCAGGAGCCAGAGAAAATTAGAAGCATTTGCGCAAAGTAAGCACGTCAACCAAAGTTCTTCGAGGGCATCAAGAACGAACATCAAACACAATTTTCAATTTACACAACGTATTTAGGTAGGTACATAAACAACAAATAACAAATATAACGTATATAAACAAAATAATTAGCATTTCAAAATTCTAAACAATGCGCAGAATCAAGTAAAATCACGTAAAATCGCATGCGAAATGTGATATTCGACTGGTGGAGACCCACTCGAGTAAACGTACACGAACTAAATCGTGTACGGACCGTTCGAAAGTGATTCGAAAATACGGAACCTCAATTTTCATGCGAATTTTGCCTTATTTCGTATACGAACGGCATTCGAATGGTTTCGAAAATACGACCCCTGGTTCAATTTAAGTGAACTACACTGTGTTCGAATGGGGTTCGATCAGTGCGGTTCCTATTGCCATAAATGTGAAAGAAAACTGAGAGGAAATAATTCAGATTCAATGTCCATTAGCGCTAGATAGAGCCATTTAAGGTAAATAATTTGCCCCTGGAAAAAATAAGAATACAAACTACCTATTTTGAATGAATGGCTATTTCCATTACTATGTTTACAAAAAACTTAATTAATGAAATAAATCAATTACTTATTCAATTACCTTGGAAATAATGTTTCACATATTATAACATTTCCGTATAAATTTAAAAAATAATTGGAGGTAAAAACATTTTGTCAATTAAATAAACATTATGTAAATTGAAAAGAATGAAAGAAAACTTTTTCTTTGAAAAATACAGAGGTCTCCCAAAATTTTTCGGAAAAACTCGACTCTGAACAAATACATCTATTCAATCGAAAACATCATAGAAAAAAGACAATGTACCTGCGACCATACTGAATGGTAAAATGGAAACTGTGGAGAGATATTAAAATTAATTCAAGTATATTAGGCTTTAGAACGTTAAAATTCATAAAAAAATTTTGAAGCTATTCCGTCTCAGGGCATCTGAAATAATTCTATAGCAAACCTTTCACTTATACGAAGTACGAAGTTCTGTCTGTCTGTGGATTTAGAGACTTTATCCCCGATAATATGAGTTTGAGAATTCCTTGTATGAATAGAACTTTAGTCAAACAAATTTGAAGAGCATCAAAATGTCTCTTTGTTCTATTTTTCCATAAAATCTCATACATGGAAACTCCTCCTAACATAATATTCTGATAATAGATTTAATTCACATGTGTAACACTACTAATGGCTGCCTTGATGTCATCAGTCTAAGGTTTGTCAGTTGCAGTAAACAATGCCGAATTGGAATTGCGTGAGAAGGCAACAAGATATGGGAAATAAAACATTCTAATTGTAGATCTGCTAGGCAATTTGCCTGCTTTTGGAGAGTAACGAACAACGAATAAGCGTCTCCCTAGAACACTGATCAAACGCCACCAAATAATATAGTTTTTTTTTCCATTTTTCCATTTTTTTCCATTCCAAACATAACTCGTGGATAAATAAAAGGGATGTATCAAATTAGCAATGCAAATAAAAAACTTTTATTATTATATATATTTTGTTTTATTTTGGAACATTTTTCACAACAAATCTATTTTTGAAAACTATCCAGAATAGGTTCTAAAATAAGTTTACATTTCTCAAATCTTCTGTTAAAATTCTATAATCTCTTGTGCCATCATTCTTGCTCTCAGAAAACTCAAATCTTTTTTTTGATTTAAATCATTTTAATGACTTAAGTCATTTGATTTTAAGTCATTTCTTGAAAGCTGACTTAAGACTTAAAATTTAAGTCATATTCAAAATGATTTGTACCTTAAATGTTTTTTTCCGAAAAAGAAAAAACTTAAGTCATTATTTAAAAGACTTAAATCAGTACATACGATTTAAGTCATCTAGAAACCAGCTCTGATTAATGATACACGTTATTGGCTCACAATTAATAATTTTGTGTAGTGCCATAGTGTCAAGTTACTTACGAATAAAAATTTACTCTGTGGTATTTTGCCGTATTACGAGCAGAAAAGGTTTTATATTTTAGCAAAAGAGTCTAAAATATGGAGCTATCCACAATTTTGCCTACAATAATTTCATTATACCTCATTTTGGACCGAAGCCACTATGTATGTTGTATGATTGATCGTTATTTTCATTCACGACTAAAAATTATTATTAAAAATAATTCAGCTTTAATTAGCTATTTATTATTATGCCGAAATTTGTTTTAAATTAATTATTGGTATAAATATTTTTAAAACTTAGATATTGTAATAGTATCTACCTTCTTGCTCCAATTGTCTTGAACTAAAAATTTACTACTTAAAAGTTAGAATGTTTAAAAAATTAATACTGAAGGTAGGCATAAAAAATTATTTATTATTTATAAAATATACTTGGTGTAAGCATTATCATAGAAATATGTAATTTAACATTTGAAAAAGTTATCGTAACCATTGTTCGATTGACGCAAAGTATATTAAAATTTATAGAAAACTGGTCTTGTGAACTAAATGTCTTAAATCACCATAACTACTCCATTCATTTCAGTATACCTTAAAAAAGTCGATTCACTGGGAAAAAAGGTCCTAGCTAGCGCCTTTGCATTTTATGATCTCAATCAAAATAAATGGATCTCCATATATCCGATACCGCCCCCTAATGTCGTCGATTCATAATAGGATCACCGTTTGTTTGGCGTACAAAAAATTTATAGGAAATCAAAAACGGTACACTTTAAGTGAAGAAAAACTACAAAATTGTTCGTAGAATACAGATTCTCAGTTAAAGGGGGTGTGCGCCAAAAATTAAAGTTTTAGTGTAAAAAAAATCTAAGAATAGAAAGTTCTCGTGCATCAGACGCTACGCTAATAAGGTACCGCAAACAAAACGCTATTTCACATGGTATTTTATAGCTCTCGGGCACGAAGACACGTAAATCCTCTAATCCCTTATTCTGTTTACATTTTGACAATTGAGTTGAGTAATCTAACCCCACTTTTTTTGCTTGTTTTCTAACTTTTATTTATTCTGAAGACTCCTGAGCTTGATTAATTTTCCCTTGGTGTTTTTTATGAAGGAATTATTAGAAGTTGCTGTTTTTGCAGATATAAATGGAGCGTAAACTAGTTTTGACATAGGATAGCGTTACGGTAAGACATCCGGTAAGTTTTGTTAGATAGCGGGCTCCGCTAACGCTAATACCGTAAGAACTGTCATACTTGTCAAATAGCGTTACGGTATTTGAAATTTGGGCGGCACGAGAACTCTCTAATAACTGTTCAAACCTCGTTATTCTACGATAAACCATCGCTGAGATATACCGCTTTAAAGTGTGTGTGAAGTCACGAGAGCTTCGTCCAGCCGCGCTCTGCATTGTTAATTTGATTGTTCCCGGCACGCGTGAGTGGTTTTTGTTTAGATTATTGCAGGTGACACAGGAAAAAAATATGTAAATTCAATTTATTTCACATTCTCGTGCGTCGTTTGAGCTTTCGTGACGTCATAGAGTGAGATGCGGTACCTTCATAGAGCCATATCTTCGATATTATTTGTCATAGAGGGATGCGGTTTTCACTGCTATTCTTAGATTTTTTTTCTCTTTTTTTTTTAGATGAAGTTGTTTTTTTGGCGCACACCCCCTTTAACAGTATGGGGTACCATTGAAATTATTGCAGTAACATAACCTGAAAAGTAGATCGATCCTAAAAACTTTCGATTGAACCGTGAGTGACATATTTGTGGTAGGACTCTGTAGTACTTTAAAAAAAAGTTAAGTTTCTTATCAGTTTGAACCTACCTCCAGTCGTTTTCTGTCGACTCGACAGCTAAAGACCCTCAACCAAGTCAGACTTCAGACACCAACCGAGGAGGAAGAAGACCTGAAAATGCCAAATGCGATTTTGGCGGAACGTTAAAAAAGGTTTTCCTTTCTAGGTATTACCCAGACTCATAAACGTATGTTCTTCTGATGAGTCCAAAATGGGACGAAACGCGTAAGGGCCTGGCTGGGAAATCTTGCATCCGCTTACAACTTACATTGCCAATGGAAATTTAGACCATATATATAAATATGTAATATTATATAAATAGAATGTCAAATATTTGATAGTGGATAATGTACGATGTTCAATAGGGATTGTCAATCAGCTTTTATTCATGCGCGAGTCACGTCAAAAGTGTTTAGACAAACAAAAACACTAATAAATCCATATGTTTTATATTGACTTTGACTATTTCATCGACACACGTGTCGGTTGTTTGTCTAAACAATTTTATTGTATCTATGTAGGCGACCGTCGTGACAAGTCCTATTAAACTTCCAAATTTTTTTGTTTCAGATGCTGTCAGCTATTTTAGTGCCTCTATTTTTAGCCCTATCAGCCTGCATCATAGTATTCATGTTTTACATAAAAAAATATTACAAATATTGGGAAAAACGTAACGTACCTATAGAAAGCAACTTCTTTCTAGTCAACAATACCTACAGCGTTTTCTCGGGAAAACTCCATTTTGGGAGTTTTTTGATTAAACTATATCAATCACATCCAGAGGATCCATATTTTGGATTTTATATATTGGGCAAGCCTCATCTTTTCATTAGATGTCCAAATGTAATAAAAAGAATATGCGAAAATCATGAATACTTCCAAGATAGAAGCTTTTTTTGTGAAGAAAGAGTAGATCCGATTGTCTCGAAATCAGTTTTCATGGCTAGAAATCCTGAATGGAGAGACTCCAGACAAAAACTTAACACTCTGTTTTCGCCAGCAAAATTTAAAGCTATGGTACCGAAGATTTTATCTCACTGTAAAGAAATGAATCTTTCTCTAGAACAATATGACAATCAAATTATTGATGTACAAATAACTGCCGAAAGTCTTATAACCAATGTGGTGTCTCATATATTTCTTGGAATAGATAGCCAATGTGAATACGATACAAATGATAATGTAGTAAAAACCGCCATGAAACATGTGTTCGGTAAAGGATGGTACCAAGGACTAGCATTTTTCGTTTATACATTTGCGCCAAAACTTGTTAAAGTTTTGAAGATTTCTCTTATTCATGACGATTTCATTAAAACTATTGTTAAAGACGTTATGAGAAGCTATTATGACACTAAAGATATTAGAGGAACTAGAGTTATTGATATACTTGCCAAAAACAATATTAACATTTATCAAGAATCAGAAAACTTTTTTGGTAAGTTACTAATAATGTTATTATAAAATGATTATGTATTTCAATTAACTTTTAGACGAAAATTGGTTAGTAGGTCAATCATCAACTATAGTTCTTGCCTCTTTTATACCTATGTCAGCATTTTTTGCTCTTAGTTTGTATGAGCTAAGCCTTAACCAAGAATACCAAGAAAAACTCAGAGAAGAAATTTTTGGATTTATTTCTGACGAAAATTTCGATGAAACACTTGAAAGTATTAGGAATATGAAATATCTAAATATGGTAGTTGCTGGTAGGTAAATGATAGAGAACTTTTCAGCCGTAGCAAAAATATTGGTTGTTGGTATGGGTTTCTTTATTGAGAATATATAGCATTTAATTTTTCTAGGGAACTTTTCGAAAACCTCTCAAAATAAAAGCCGAAGACACTCATAAAGCATAATATTGAATTAGAACAAGTACAACAAAATAACTAAATTTGGTTAAAGTTTAAAAGAAATCTAAATCGTCTCAGTATTTTACGTTTTATAAAATTTTTTACACAATATAAGGATAGCCATAACGATGCGAAAACATGGAGATTAATGCCTCTCTAAATAAGCTGTGATTTTTAGAAATCCTAAGGTTATATCCTCTGGGTGATTTCGTGAACAGAAATTGCAACAAAGACTACGTGTTACAAGAAACCGGTTTAAAGGTTGAAAAAGGAACCCCCATTATGATCTCTGTTAGTGCAATTCACGCTGATCCAAAATTCTTTCCTGATCCATGTAAGTTTGATCCTGGAAGATTTGAAAATGGAACTAAAGAATTCGAAAGAGCTGGAGTTTATTTTCCTTTCGGATTTGGTCAGAGAAGCTGTTTGGGTGATTAACGATTAAATTGATATTTATTTGGTGTAATTTAAATACATTTATTTTTAGGTGGAAGATTTTCCCTAGTGGCCATTAAAATAGCCCTGGTAGAGGTGTTGAGAAAATTCAAATTTGAACCTTGTAATGAAACAGAAAGGCCAATAATGTTTGATAATCGAGTGATAAATATTTCTCCTATAAATGGAATAAAATTACGAATAACTAAGTTGTGATATTTCATTTATATGTATATGCAAGAAAAAAGAAATAAAAGGGAATAATTTCACCCAAAAAATACCTATCTATTTTAATCAATTACCCAATAGGTGAAAAAAACACTAAAGCAAATCTTCGTTTTTACTACCACAGGTATGACGTACACCCGTTGTTTCGTCTTTATTCTAAATAAATTTTATACAATTTGGCAAAGGTGCAAAATTCCTGTTTGCTCGCATTTTTTTGTTTTGTTTCGCGCAAAAAAAGTCGTACCTCTAGATTTTGATAGTGGACGTACCAGAAGCGAGTAATTGGACAGAATTGCTAAGAAACTCGATGAGACGACACGGGCGCGTCGTCGTACGACTTAACCCGGTCGCAATATTTCTAATCTCAAAACTTCATTGTGAAGTCCTCTCGTATCAACCTTCTACAAAGTTACATAACCCGTAATTGGGAACACCATAATCCGCAGAGCGTGTGTAAAGCAGGGTCCCTGCAGGAGTGCACTTATGGAATCATTGGGTAAGTCCTTTTTATCATTATTTAGAGGTTGCGCCGCAAAGTAAATACAGTCCACTACCAGCTAAGACATTACGTATTAGATACCCGCAAAACATTTTGATCCTTAACGAGCCAAATTTCTTATTTTGTTCTGGTGCTTAAATTGATTAACTGGTTAATTATTGCAATTAATCGATTAATTGAAAGTATTTTATTTGATTTTTTTCATTTTGTTGAAATTCATTCGCGTTATACATCATTCTTAGCAAGAAACTGCAAGTGTTTTAATTATTCTCGGTTTGTGTTTTAGACAAAATAAAACATAAAAGGCATTAATTATTGTAATTTGGCCAGTAGAACGAAAACATTTTTATCAGAAAATCCATAGAAGTTGTAAATTGAACCTCAAGAGCAGAGCAAAAAAAAAAAAAGAAAAAAAAACTTGTTTATTTGAACATAAACATTCCAAGCTTGAAATTCTTTCTTTTTTTTTGCCTTGCCCAAATGCAAATTCAGGAAAAGAACGGATTTTGCTAGATAGTAGGTACTATTCGATTTAATTTAATTTAAATTTGATTTCAATTTTTTTTTTTGGCAATATGTCAGAAGATTTAACAATTCTCACTGCCCAACGCAAAATTCTTATCAAACGAATTTCTGAAGTCTACGATATTGCTAATAAAGCGATCGCAGATGAGACAACGCAAGAATATTTTAAGACACGCTATGAGGCTATTCCCTCTTATTATCAAGATTTCGAAAAAATTCACATGACAATAGTTTTTCATAAGGATATGTCTGAGGACAAATGGGATGGCGAAGAAGAAATTCGAAGCGAAATAGATGAAAAGTATTATACTACGAAGAGTATCTTCAATCAATTCATTAAAAATGAAGCAATCGCTAATGCGAGTGTCAATATGACAATGTCGCAACCGCTAGCTTCACCCACTGCCGCTTTGCATAACTTTGCCCCGACTATAAATGTTAATTTGCCCAAGTTGACCCTACCTGTATTTGAGGGTGACCTTAAGCAATGGCCAACGTTTTTTGATTTGTTTCAAAACCTAATTCATAATAAAGCTGGCTTATCAGATATAGAAAAGTTCCAGTATCTCCTCTCTTTTATTAAGGGGGAACCGCTAAATTTAATCAAAGCTATTCCAATAACGGAAGCAAATTACAAAATTGCCTATACAACCCTGGTGAGTCGCTACCAAAATAAAAGATTACTGGCAACCACCTATTTAACTGAAATATTGAATTTCCCTAAAGTTTCGAATGGGTTTAATTTACGCAATATTTTTGATTCCTTTATGGAAAATTTAGACGCCCTTTCTCTCTTAGGATTTCCAGTTGTACATTGGGATTTTATTCTTCTGAATTTATTACTTAAAAAACTGGACGTTGACACAGTACAACGTTTTGAATTAGCCCATGCACAATTTGATATTCCAACCTTTAATCAGTTGAAGTTATTTCTTACAAATCAATGTAAAGCTTTAGAGACTATGGCTCATTCGAATAATCAAATTTCGCAAACAAAAGGAGCAAATAATAGTCGAGGCGTAAAAGGTGATCCTGGAAAAGTTTATCCTCATGCATTGTTGGCAAATGCAAGTAACGGCAACAGTCAAACTCAAAAGATAGTACCTTCACAAAGATGCAGTGTGTGTAATTTGTCACATTTGGTTTATAATTGCCCTAATTTTCGCAATAACACTCCCAAAGAGAGATTTTCGATTTGCAAGCAAAACAGAATGTGCATCAATTGTCTGAGTTCGGCTCATAACTTACAGAAGTGCAAATCTACCTCGGTTTGTCGCATCTGTCGTTTGCGCCATCATACTTTACTGCATTTTGATTCAGCCAAGAGTCCAAACTCCGCAGATTCACAAACTAATTCATCTAGTTCAGTTCAATCGCCCCCTGATAACCAAATACCCTCATTGTTTAGCCCAAATTCAAGTTCTTCGCCGACTATGAATTCGTGTGTTGGAGCTGTAAATCCAAATTCAGTGGTTCTATTGGCAACCGCGCTAGTTAATGTCTTGGATTCCCAAGGCAACCCGCATTCCGTTAGAGTTTTGCTGGATAGTGCCAGTCAGGCAAATTTTATCTCAAAAAGGTGTTTCAACCGCTTAGGTTTGACTTCCTCAAAACTCAATATACCTATTAAAGGTATTGGCGAAATGTCTTCTCTTGTATCACAAGGTGTGACGCTATTCTCGATCGGTCCTCCTATCAACAATAAGTTGTTAGTCAATTTAGAAGCTATTATCCTACCCAAAGTATGTTCTGACATGCCAACCGCATTCTTTAAAACCGATTCTTGGGATCACATCAACAATTTGAAGTTAGCTGATCCATCGTTTAACGCTCCAGGTAGTATCGACATGTTACTGGGAGCTTCAGTTTTTCCTCATATTTGGTTGCCTGGAAAAATCGATGGAGGTGGAAGATCTCCAGTTGCCCTCAACACAATTTTTGGCTGGGTGCTGATGGGAAAAATCAATTTTCAAACTCCAACTCCACTTTATACTTTCTCAGCGCTTGTTGAAAATGATGATCTTACAACAAAGTTGCAACAATTCTGGGAAATTGAAGAAGTTCCTCAAGCTAGCACTCTCTCCTCTGATGACCTCTTGGCCGAAAGTTCGTTTGTGAATACGCACCGTCGCACGTCCCATGGACAGTTTATTGTTTCCCTGCCATTCAAAAATGGTGAACCGCTTCTTTCTGATTCACGTTCCATTGCTTTACGTCGATTCTATAGCCTAGAACGGAGATTACAAAGTAATCCCCAAACTTACAAGGCCTATTGCGATTTTATGCATGAGTATTTGTCCCTGGGACACATGAAAATCGCAACTGTCCTACCCGCTCAAGATCGTCCCGAAAAAATGTATTATATTCCTCATCACAGCGTAATAAATCCTAATTCTTCTACCACCAAGCTTCGTGTGGTCTTTGACGCATCCGCAAAAAATACAGAAGGCGAGTCCCTAAACGCAACGCTTTTACCCGGTCCTAAGCTCCAGAAGGACATCACTGCTATTCTTTTAAATTTTCGACGCTACTCGGTTGTCTTCACTGCTGACATCAAGATGATGTACCGCCAAATTTGGGTTGATTCATGTCATTGGGATTATCAACGCATTATTTGGCGATTTAGCCCTTCAGATCCCATTCAGGATTTTGTTCTGAAGACGGTAACTTATGGAGTATCTAGTGCGCTATTTCTTGCATTACGATGTCTTCTTGAGTTGGCGCAAAATTATTTCGAGGATTTTCCTAGGGCATCAAAAGTTCTTCTTAATCAAACTTTCGTGGATGATGTCGTTGATGGAGCGAATTCATTAAGTGAAGCCATCCTTATCAAGAACGAACTAATCCAGCTCTTAAAGTTGGGAGGCTTCGATTTGAGAAAATGGTCTAGTAACGACTTGGAATTTTTATCAACTATACCTTCTGATATTCACCAAACATTGACATCTATTTCAATGAATGACACGGATTCCTATTTCAAGGTTTTAGGACTTCGTTGGTATCCCCACCTCGATAAATTTTCTTACGAAATAAAAGTTTTAAAATCAGAATGCTCTAAACGGTCCATACTTTCGGAAATTGCTCGCATTTTTGACCCTCTAGGTTTCCTTGCCCCTGTTACATTCGCCCTTAAATTATTGATGCAAAATCTCTGGGTCCAAGGACTCACCTGGGATGATGTGGCTCCCTCTGATATCGCGAAAACATGGAAAAAATATAAGGCCGATCTTCCCCGTTTGTCAAATTTACGCATCCCTAGACATTGTTTTCTTTCCTCATATGTCTCGATTGAGCTCCACGGTTTTGGAGATGCCTCCAGCCTAGGATATTCAGCGTGTATCTATTCACGTTTGGTTTGCTCTAACCAAAAAATTTCTACTTTCCTTGTTTATGCAAAAAGCAAAGTTGCTCCGTTAAAACGTATTTCACTTCCTAGACTCGAACTTTGTGCGTCTTTGTTGGCCGCAAAATTACTTAAATTTGTCTTGGCCACTTACTCAGACGTTAACTTTACGCGAATTTACGCTTGGTCGGATTCTATGGTCTCACTCGCTTGGATTCGCTCGCCGGCATTTCGATGGAAAACTTTCGTAGCCAATCGAGTCAGCCAAATCCAGGATATCGTGCCTCCTGAAAACTGGAACCACGTTGCCTCGGAATTTAACCCCGCCGACTGCGCTACTCGGGGCATGTTACCCTTTGAATTGTGTGACGCTTCTTTGTGGTGGCACGGTCCCGCATGGTTACTGTTGCCGCAGGAAGTGTGGCCTGCATCAAAGTTTGAACCCGATTCAAAGCCGCAACCGGAAGTTCTCGCCGAAGAAGGAAAATTAGTATGTGCTATCACTACGGAAATTGATGGTGTTTCCAGGCTTTTAGGTGAACGTTCTTCGCTCCCAACCATTTTAAGGATATTCTCGTACTGCCTTCGGGTGATCCAAAAAATGCGTCATGAACCCACTATTTCGACTAATACTTTCACAGATGTTGAATTGCATAATTCCCTAATGACGCTAGTGAAA